AGCCTTTAATGCCTTAAGTCACAAGTTTGGAGCCTCTAAAAATTCCCTCTCATTATCCACAAGTTTCAGATCTGAAATTTGAAATCCAAACTCCAAATCTTCAAAAATCCAAAAAAGAAACAAAAAAAAGCAATAAAAAATCCAAAAAATTAATGTTACACTAGTGTTCCTTAAGTCATTTTCAGGTTTCATCATTTAATTCAAGTCTCTAGCTCATGTAGGATCCCAACTACTTGAATCTCCTTGTTTTGTTTGATATCTGAGGTTTGAAGGCAGTTCGAGTCATCTAGGCATTGGATCTGGGTAATTTGAGTCGACTGTGGGTCATTACTTGAATGTATTGCTTTCCTGCGTTCATTTCTGGGCATTTTGATGCTGTTTTGGGTTGAAATATCAGTCTCGTTTGGTTTAAAACATTTCTGGAATCACTGAGTCATTTCTGGGCTAAAATCGTCTGTGTTTGTTGTTGTTTGTAACTCCAAATCACTGTTGCCTGCTCTGCTATTGCTAACTTCTCCTTCTTCTTGTTACATTCTGATTTCCAGGTACCTCCCTTGATCTCGTATGAACTGTGAAGGAATCAATGTAAATTTGATGTTGAAGAAGTGAAAATGATGAATGTAGTTGAATCGACCTTTAAGTTTTCCTGTTCTGTTGTACTTTACATACGTAGGACAGTGTTGTTTAATGGATAACTTGTATAAAATTGGACTGTATGAGTTGCCTGGACTGTGGACTGTCAAAACAATTTGATTACTTCTTCTGATTGTAGGACTTTATATTTAGTAGTGTTGGTTTGAAGTAGTTTAAAAGTCCGAGTTCAAGCTGCCATGTGTGAATTCAAAATCAGAAATTTAAGAGTAGAGGTTTGGTTTGAAATCAGAAACTAGTTATGATCTCACTCGTGATTTAAATGGCAGAAATCGTGGTTGAGTATATGTGATTCGTTAAAGTCAACTATAGGCAATCCATTTTCATTTAGCATCATTGAATATCGAGTTTCCTTTTTTGTTATGTGGTCACGTTAGTGTTCAGTTAAATTCATGAATCAACACTCTATCAGGAATGAGCAAACAGTAGGGATTTGGCATAATAAACTAGTATACAACATGTTCGGCATTATGCATTAGATTATCTAGTTGTGTTGGAGATGCTAGTGTACTTATGTGTTGAATTCAATACTACAATAGCCTAAAGTGATATCAATTTCAAATGCACAGTCAGAAGTGTGAGTTGATGCAAGCATAGAATTAATTCATAAATTGATAGTCTTCTGCATTGGTTGGTTAAATTGGACTATTACAATTCCTGAAGTCCAAATAATTCCTGCCCAGACTTAACGAGAGATATGTGCTGCTGTGCCAGGCATAAGCCCACAGCGCAGTAAGCCATAGCCAAAAGACAATGAGACCATATTTGGGCCTTTGGGTTAGGTAGCGGGTTCGAACTAAAAGGCTTGTCCTTTTGTTTGAACCCGGACTTGAACTTAAGGTCCGAGTTTCATAATATTAAGCAACTAGGATTCTTTAGAGACAAATTAAAATAAAGAAATGGTAGTTTACTCTAGGACTTGGCTTTTAAATAAAAAATGAGACGAGCCTCGCTGCACAAAACATATAAAATTGCGGGGCCCTCGCTAAATGTTTATACAACAATACTTAGACTTCGAGATGAGCCGTTTAGCGAATTTCACGGCTTTCCCCAAAGATAATAACGCGTTAGCCTCTTTAAGCGCGTCCCTTAATAACATTACCTTCCTAAACTCGGGTGCGCATTTATGTGACCCAAATCCAAATTTCAACGAAGTCAAAATGTGTCAAAAATCGCGGGTGCATTTATGTGACGCGGTTCGAGACATGTTTTCACAACGTTGCAATTCTCTTTAAAATAATAATAATAATAATAAAAGTGGTTAAAAAGCATAGATTAAAGCATGTTGTAAAATCAGATAAATAAGCCGAATATGAAAGTTGAGCGACCGTGCTAGAACCACGGAACCCGGGAATGCCTAACACCTTCTCCCGGGTTAACAGAATTCCTTACTCGGATTTTTGGTTCGCAGACTGTTAACAGAGTCATAATTTCCTCGGTTCGGGATTCAACCGGTGACTTGGGACACCATTAATCTCCCAAGTGGCGACTCTGAGATCTTAATAATAAATCCCGTTCCGATTGTCCTTTAAGTGGAAAAACTCCTTTACGCCCCTGCGGTGTAGTAAGAAAAAGGAGGTGTGACACTTCTTATCAAAGATACCCTAGCGAAATACTGAATATACTAAAATAACATTACTTAGTTTAAACTATTAATTAAGTAGTGAATTTTCCACGGTCTACGCGGTCATAAAGATAAATAAATGAGCTCTAAAAATTTTCTGTATAATTTTTATTCTATAAGTTGAATATGTAGAACATATTTATATTTTAACGGTTAGATCAGTTTCACAAATAATAATTTGAAGGCAAAAAAAGAATGATATTGAAACTACAGTGATATATGTGTTTACCCTTAAAATTGGATAACAATTAAACTAATAAATAGTTTTAAGGATATGCTATTTCACTTGGCACAAACTGAGAAATATGAGAATTAATGTTAGAAATTAACTGTAAAATAAATCAAACGGATATAATGAGCGGTTATGGCCTTCGAGCTAGATAGCCCTCGAACCAACAAAGTATGCTAAAAAGAGTATGAACCAAATAACAAAGCTTAAGAGAGAAAACGTAATGTATTGCTTTGTTATGCGTGAATGTCATGTTTACAAAATGATTAGAACCCCTTTATATAGTAGTGGAATTTTACTTATGGTACAATTCTAAATAAAGAAGGAAATCCCATGATTGGCTAAATGTCCGGCATTGACTTGATACGTGCCGAGATTTCTGCCACGATCCTTGCCCGATCACGGATATCTCGGCTTTTTGTTATTCGACTTTAGCAGGCCTCCTTCGATCTCACTCGATCTCTACCCCGTTTCTGTCTCGATCACGGCTGGTCTCATTCTTGATCGATCACCGATTAATGAGCTTAGCAACCCATCTCCGTGCCATGGTTCAATACAATGCGAGGCCGAGCTTTGCTCTGCCACCCTGGTTTCAATTAGCCATACAAAATTAGGGAAGCCCGATTTTGACCGGCCTCATTTTTTGGAGTGTAATGACAAGAAATGAATTGAGTTTTCGAGCTTCCCCCGATTTAACGTGACGTAAGCGACGAGTTCGACTATGACGTCAGTGACAAGTAGGCACTGAAATGTCCTGTCGGTTCGGATGTCGAGGCATTAAATGTTGTTAGTTGTTGTCGGCCACTACTGGTTCTGAACCGTCGTCTTCAACCTATAAACGTATCTTACTTCTTTTGCCCACACTTTACTTTCAATCTCGTTCATTCAAATCTTCATAGTTCTTTGCATTCTTCAGAGCTTCCTATCTCCAGGTCTTTGAATTTCTTTGCTTGTTCTTCCCAAAACACCAAATATTCCAATCTCTATTCTCCCTTGCTTACAAAAACAAAATGGCCAAAACATCTAAAACTATTCCACAGAAAGAAATCGCTTCCTCGTTTCGGCCGGCCGGTGAGCGACCAGCGGCGGATCCTCCCCTAGAGGACTTCGTTCCGACAAAGTACCCTACTGCTGCCGATTTTAAGGTGGAGAATACACCCTCAACACCAGGTCGATGTGAACCGATGTCCAGATACATATGTACAGTTATCGAAGGTCTCCTCGAGAAGGTGAAAGAGGAGTGCAACTAGGTAGGAAAAGATGTAGTAGTTACTGCCCCCGAGGAATCCATCACAACTCATGTGGAAGGGTATCTAAGTGTCTATACTTACCCCTTCACGATAGGTCCCTTAGACCCTATCATCGTCGCCTTTTGCAAGAGGTACTATGTCACTCTTGGCCAAATCCATCCATCATTCTGGAGGATCGTGATTCTCCTCCGATTCTTTGTAAGCAAGATCGAGGGCATCCTTCTACCCTCGATCACCTTATGCGTCTCTACAGTCCCCGACTTTATCGTGGAGGCTTCATCAAACTTTACTGCCGAGCCACCAAACCCCCATTCTCGAGCATATACGAGACCTGAGATCGAGGTTGGATGGGCAGATTAGTCCGAATAAAGGCTTCGGACCTAATCCCTACCGAAGACATGCCATTTCCTAAAAAATGAAACATGGACTGCAAGTATTGCTTCGCCTTGAATATCTAACTTTGTCGTTTTGCTTCTTATCTCCCTTCCTCATCTTAGCTTTTGTGTTCTAGCTGTGGTCGTCATATTGGAGGTGATCCCTGATCTCGAGCAATGGGTGAAGGGTCTGGTGTCGCAAAGGTCATACTCCGAGCGTGCTTGGATGGAAATATCGAAGTTCCAATGGGAGGCCCATAACCATGGTAATCTTCTCTTCTTAGAACGGTTTCCATTTGGGCTTTGCATCGGACTTATTCATCTTTTCCTTTTGTAGTCCTAGGGAAGGATGTACCAGTGAGGCCCCCCTCTGCTGAAGAAGAGGCGCTTTTCCCTCCACCTACCCCGAAGCAGACCAAAGAGAAGAAGAGAAAAGGGGCTCCGAGCTCTCCGAACTCTCCAGGCCCGGAAATGAAAAAGCCGGTGAGGAGGCTCTATAAGAACGTCATCCGCCTAACTATGGAGTCAGTCAAACAGCTGAGGGATGAGGCTGAAAAGGACGAAGAAGAAGAAGACTCCGGGCTGGTGATCCGTGTGCGAACTGGCACCAAAACTCAAAGAACTACTCGGCCGGCGGGAGCTGAAACTGCTTTGCCTCGTCTTGACGAAGTCCCCGAGTCAGAAAAGACGAAGACGCTTCACCTCGAGGTGATAAGGCTATCAAGGAGGCGGTCGAGGTTGGTGTAGAAACCATGCTCGACGCTTCCCGTAATGAAGGCAGAGCCCCAAAGGACTTACTTGGGGCAATAGAGATTGGAGATTCCCCCTCATTGCCTTCGTTCTCTGATACGACGATCAAGGACGCTTAGGCGATGAATACTTGCCACGACGAAGGGATTCGTGAAGTAGAGGACCCTTTCAGTAGCTATTTTGCTGAAGTGGAAGATGTCGGTCTGTGTGACTTGGATGTACCTAGGAAGAGCTCGATTGAGGCTTCCTCGAGTTTTAAACTAACCAATCAATTCCCGGCCCCCAGTGTCGATCACGGGCGTAAGAGGCCACTTACCATCTTGGTCCCGGAGGATGCTCGGCTTTTTTCTGCCCCCATGGGGTGGCTAGCTATCTCTGATGCTTGGTCACTGAAGAGGACCAAGCCAAGATGGATGAAGTGGAAGTTGCTTGCTTGTTCAACAAGGCCCCAGCATGCTCTGAATCGGGTAAGTTCGAGGGTCATTCCATTATCTCTTTATGACTTTGAATCATAGATATTTCTAACGTTTTCTTCCTTTCCTGTAGGCTTCGTTGTTGAATCATGAGGCCTTTCTTAGAATTCGAGAAGAGCGCAAGGCTGAGGTTCAGGGCCTAACTGAGAAATGCGATACCTATAAGCTTCTCAGTGAGAAGCTTCAGGTAGACTTGGTGACGGCTCGAGATGAGCATGTTGGGATGGCCGAGCAAGTATTACGAGTCCTTCATGATAGTGAGGATGAGTTGGAGATAACAACTAATGATCTGATTCTGCAGGTTCGACAGAGGCTCGAACAGATCAAGGACCTCCAAAGGCAAATAGATAAAGTACGAGGTGAGGCTGAAGAGTTCAAGGAGTGTATGGACATTTTGGCGGCACAAAAAGAGGTCGTTCAAGTAGATCTAGATTCGGCAGAGTCTCAACTTCGGTCTGCAAGAGATAATTCCACGGTTCAGGCAAATAAAATTGAGGAGCTTGAGTCCAATTTAGCCAATTTGGCCAAAGAGCTCGAAGTGGCCAGATCTAAGGCGGTCGTGGCCAATATTAAGGCTCAAGCTAGTGCAACTCAATACAAGGCCGATGCCGAAGCCACCCTAGCGCAGGCCAAGAGCATGGTGGATCATGCAAAGTGGTAATCTCGAAGGGAGACCCTTGAGGGGGCCCGTGATCAAAGCTTCGATATATCTGCTGAGATCGAGATTGCCTGGGCAGAGGAAACAAAGGCTCGGGGGCTGGCTTTTCCCGAGGAAGACTCTGAGAACTTGAGTGAATCTGGCGGTGGAAAAGATTCTGAGGGCAAAACTACTTCTACCGATAAGGAGTGTGCTGTTTAGGCTTTGTGCTTTTTATAATTTTCTGCTTTTATTTTGAGGTTGATCGGTCCTTGTAAAGAACTCTAAATCGGGGCATATGGCCCTTGTAAAAAGACTGCGATGAATATATGAAACATTTTCTCTTCCATGGCTTCTGAATCTGTTGTCTTTTTTTGTTATTTCACGTAAGGGTCAAAATGCCTTAGCATAAGATTATGAAGTTGTGTTCGAGGGTCTAAGGTTTGGGGAAGGTAAGGGCCGATAATAAGCTTTGCCTTCGACCTTTTCTATCGACGGACCTCGAATGATAACTCGAACATAAGTTTATGTAGCCCTTAAGCTTAATGATCGAGTGAGGACATGCTTAAACTCGAAATTAGGTAGCCCTTAGGTTTTCTAGTCGGGTGAGAGGGATCTCTAGAACTCGAAGTGAAAGTAGACCTTAGACATTTGTAAATATTGTATTTGGCCGATCTGACCTTTGTAAGATGATCGTTTATATAAGGCTAATCTACCCTTTTTCGGCTTTCAAAGTTTTCCCTTTGTTTATCACTCGTGTTCACAAAGGCTGTAACGCCTTAGCGTGAAATAAGGAGCTTGTTCTAGAGTTCGAACAATTATGTACTCATTAGAGTTTTCGAGGTTCGATATTATCGAAGCCTTTTATGATTTTACCGGGGGTAGCCCTTTTAACCGGTTTATGAAAGAATTCGAAGGCCTGTTTTGTTACGGAATTTAGACGTCTCCGAACCGTGTTAGTTTGGCCGTAGCCTCTTTAGTTCGGGATTCGCCCCTTGGGCTCATTTTCCCGTTTTACTTCGAGCTTGACCGAAGCATCAATCCCTGGGTGGGGTGGCCGCGGCCTATAAAAACCGAGAGTCACCTAAAATGTCTTATGATCTCGAAGTTTTAATACTTCGATCTCGTTCATTTTTCGGACGGCAGTCCCCGAGCGCAGTCCCCGTGCTTTCAGATCTAAAGACTTCGTGTCGAGGAGTTTATTATTGTTTCTAATCGAACACATTCAAGAGTTAGTTCAAAATATAAATGAAAATGGAAGGGGTCGTACCTTAGCTGTATTACCGTTTGTAATACGTTCCAATTGCTCGGTAGTTGTTAGTCGTTCATCATGCCGAGCTTGTAAGATCCTTTTCCTGTGATTTCGAGAATCTGGTATGGCCCTTCCCAGTTTGGACCAAATTTTCCTTCATTTGTATTTTGGATGTTTAGTGTTACCTTCATTTGTAACAAGTCCCCAACATTAAAGTGTCGAAGTTTGGCCCTTGGATTGTAATACCATTGATTCGTTGTTTCTGGGCGGCCAATCGAACGAAGGCAGCTTCACGTCGTTCATCCAATAGTTCTAGGCTCATATTCAAGGCCTCGTCATTTGATTCCTTTGTCGCGTATAGGAATCTGATGCTTGGCTCCCCAACTTCGACAGGTATTAAAGCTTCGGTGCCATAACCCAAAGAGAACAGGTAGCCCCGGTACTGGAGTTCGAAGTTGTGCAATACGCCCAAAGACTTCGGGCGCGACTTCTCTCCATTTTCCTTTAGCGTTGGTCAACCTTTTCTTTAGGTTTTGTATTATGGTTTTGTTGGTTAATTCGGCTTGCCTATTTCCAGCAGGGTGATAAGGTGATAATAAGATCTTTTTGATCTTGAGGCCTTCGAGAAATCTGGTCACCTTGCTGCCGACAAATTGTTTTCTGTTGTCATATGCAATTTCGGATGGTATCCTAAATCGACATACGATATGGTCCCAAATGAAGTCGATGACTTCTTTATTCCTGACCTTCTAGCGGGCCTGTGCTTCAACCCACTTAGAGAAATAGTCAGTCATAAATAAAAAAAATTGAGCCTTACCTGGTGACGATGGAAGAGGGCTGACGATGTCCATCTCCCACTTCATGAACGGCCATAGGGGACAAAATCGAATGCAGCAGCTCCCCGGGTTGATGAATCATCGGAGCATGCCTTTGACATTTATCACTTGCACAAACTCCTTCGCATTTTTTCCATATCAATCCAGTAATAGCTGGCTCGGATTGCCTTCGAACCAGTGGTTCGGCGCCTGAGTGGTTATAACATGTGCCTTCGTGGACTTCCCTCAAAACATACTCGGTATCACCCTGTCCCAGACATATCGCTAGCGGACCGTCGAACATCCTCCTAAGTAAGGTTCCATCTTCGGACAAGCTAAAACGGGTTGCCTTCGTACGCATGGCCTCGATTACTTTGGATCTGAATGAAGTATTTCGCTCTTCAAATACTCTATGTACTTGTTTCTCCAATCCCAAGTCAAGCTTATAGAATTTATCTCGGCATGGCCTTCTTCGACCACTAACCTCATGAGTTGTACAACAGCCCCCAAATTGAGTTTGTTGTCCTCGACTGACGAGCCTAGGTTTGCGAGGGCATCGGCTTCGCTATTTTGATTTCGAGGCACATGTTGCAAATTCCATTCTTTGAACCGGCATAAAGTTACTTGTAGCTTGTCCAAGTATCTTTGCATTCGTTCTTCTCAAACTTCAAAGGTTCCGTTAACCTGATTCACAACGAGGAGGGATTCGCATTTGGCTTCGATCACCTCTGCTCCCAAGCCTTTGGCTAGTTCGAGACTTGCAATCATGGCCTCATATTCGCCTTAGTTGTTAGTCAATTTTACAGTTCTAATAGATTGTATAACCACGTTACCTATGGGTGGTTTCAGCACGATGCCGAGTCCGGACCCTTTTCCGTTCGAAGCATCGTCCGTAAAGAGGGTCCAGATCCCCGAAGATGTACTCGAGTTGACTAACAATTCTATTTCAACCTCGGGTACTAGGGCCGGCGTGAAGTCAGCCACAATTTCTGCCAAGATTTAAGACTTGATGGTTGTTCGGTGTCGATACTCAATATCGTACCCGCTGAGTTCCACGGCCCATTTGGCCAATCGCCCCAAAAGCTCGAGTTTATGAAAAATATTTCGAAGGGGATAAGTTGTTACAACACATATGGGATGACACTAAAAATATGGTTTTAATTTCCTAGAGGCGCTTATCAAAGCGAGCGCTAGTTTTTCCAAATGAGGACACCTACTTTCGGCCTCACCTAAGGTCCGGCTAACATAATAGACAGATAATTGCGTACCTTGTTCAACTCTGACCAAGACTCCACTTACCGCTATCCCCGAGACTGCCAAGTACAAGTAAAGTTGTTCGTCCACTTTCGGGGTATGAAGCAGCGGCGGGCTCGATAAGTACCGATTTAGTTCCTTCAAGGCCTGCCGGTATTTCGGGGTCCATGCATAATTGCTCTTCTTCCTAAGCAGTGAGAAGAATCGGTGACTCCTATCTGAGGATCTCGAAATGAATCACCCTAGGGCGGCTATGTGCCCCGTTAGCCTTTGCATGACCTTTACATTATCTACGATCGTGATATCCTCGATAACTTTGATTTTATTGGGGTTGATCTCGATCCCCCGAGTGGACACCATGAAGCCGAAAAACTTGCCTGAGCCAACCCCGAACTCACACTTTTCTGGGTTGAGCTTCATATGTACTCCCTCAGTATATTGAAAGTCTCCTGCAAATACTTCAAACGGTCCTCTGCTCGTAGGACTTAACTAGCATGTTATCAATATAAAATTCCATAGATTTTCCTATTTGTTGTTCGAACATTCGATTTACTAGGCGTTGATTGGTTGCCCCAGCATTTTTTAGTCCGAATGGCATTACATTATGACATTAGGTGCCATACTTAGTGATAAACAAGGTCTTTTCCTGGTCCTCCGGGTTCATCTGTATTTGGTTGTACCCGAGTAGGCATCGAGAAAACTGAGAGTCTCGTAGTCGGGCGTGGCATCTATCATACGATCGATGTTAGGCAAAGGAAAAGAATCTTTGGGGCATGCTTTATTCAGGTCTTTATAGTCTGCACACATTCTAAGTTTGTTTCCCTTCTTAGGGACTACTACTACATCCGCTAACCATTCAGGATATGTTACATCCCGGATGGATCCTATTTTGAGAAGTTTGGTTACCTCATCTTTGATGAAAGCATGTTTTACCTCGGATTGAGGCCTCATTTTTTGTTTCACCGGGCGGAACTTCGGGTCCAAGCTTAGTTTATGAGTAGTGATCTCCGGTGGGATCCCTGTCATATCGAGATGGGACCAGGCAAAACAATCCATATTAGCTTTAAGAAATTGAATAAGTTTTTTTCCTGAGCTCGGGAGTTAACCCTGTGCCCAGGTATACCTTTCGATCGGGCAGATGCTCGATCAATATGATTTTTTCCAGCTTTTCAACTGTTGATTTTGTGGCGTCCGAACCATCGGGGATTATGAAGGATCGAGGTATCATATAGTCATCATCCTTGTAAGTCCCTTACTCCTCCGATTGGGTCGAGGTTGGTGACTGTGGTTGCTATTTGGCCTCCTATTTTCACTTCGAATCCGATCCCTTTGCTGATGAAAGTGCCGATACCCAATATCACCTCATCAATTGCAAACATCTCCTTGGCAGCTGGTTGTTCCCCCTATACTGTTTTGACTCCCTCCAATGTCGGGAACTTCAGAACTTGGTGAAGGGTCGAGGTACTGCCCTCATGTTATGTATCCAAGGCCTTCCGAGCAGTGTACCTCATGTCACCCTCGATCACATGGAACTTTGTTTCTTGGATAGTTCCAGACACGTTTACTGGCACAATAATTTCACCTTTGGTGGTTTCGCTTGCCATGTTGAAGCCATTAAGTACTCGGGCTGCGGGCACAATTTGGTCTTGCAGGCCGAGCTGTTCTATGACCCTTGATCGAATAATGTTGGCCGAGCTACCTGGATCAGTCAAAACACATTTAACATGAATTTTACTCATAAGGACAGATATTACCAGTGCATCGTTGTGGGGTTGGTCGATCCCTTATGCATCCTCGTCATTGAAAGACAAAGTCCCTTCCGGTAAGAAGTCCCGAGTTTGCTTCTCCCTTGTAATTGACACCTTGGTGCGTTTAAACACTAGACCTTGAGGAATATCGAC